TTTTGGATGTTTAAACTCATAACTCTCATGTTCTGAATGATTTGAATATTTTAAATGTCTAATGATGAAGTATTCAGAACATCGCTGTTTTCTGGTTATCTTTGGTATGTGCATTGTGGATTTGAGTTTTACAGGTGCTTGTAAGACACAAAGCTAAAAAGGGGGAGATTGAAGATGCAACTGGTTTGACGCATATCGTGAATCAGTCAGGAAGTGCATCAGGGCGTATGGACGGATATGTAGCGGAGCTAAGCGGAGCTTAACGGAGCTAAAGGATTGATGCTGAGCTGGATGCGAGCTTGTAGCGGTTAAGGACGAATCCAGAAGAGGCGGTAGCTGAGCTGGATGAGGAGATTTGGAATTATCAAGACAAAAGGGATATTTCCTATTCTTAGAGAAAAATAAGGAAAGGAAATATTCCTTTGGAGATTTGGAGTAATCACCAAGACACAACCTTGTAGGGTTTGGCGGTTCGTCTATTGAGGATAAATAGAGGACTGATAAGTAGGATTTTTGTATCAACTACTCTCAATCCATACCACTCATGTCATTGTAGTACTTGAGATGTCAATCCAAGTGGAGATTAAACTTATCGAAATAAAGAAAAGGCAAAGATCAAGTTTCGATAAAAGATTGGGTTTTGTTTTGTAAAGATCTATGCTTTAAGCTAACAAGATGAAATAAAGATTTAAACTTTGACAATAAAAGATAAAGGAGGCGTCTTGGGTGAGACTTAGTTGGGATCAAACGAGCTCAACCATCCTTTCTCAACACACCAAGACTCAAGCTTTGTGCTTAGACTTTGGGTAAATCCGCCACTCTCGTGGTCAGATCGCTTTGCAAGCTGAGAATCCAAAGCTAGCTCTCACTAGTGGACTCAAAGTTACAAGCTTTCACAAGATCTAGTCTAAAAGTGCACAAGATACATCCCAACAACCAATCTCTTAGGTTGGGAATGTTTCTCTCTATCGCTAGCTCTCTTAGGCATTAACGCAAACACCTTCTAGGTGTACTAGCCTAGATTCGCGACTTCAAGTGATCAAGAAGAAGCCGAGATATAAAGCTCTAGCTAAAGAAAAGCTGGTCAAGGGAGATTAAGGAAGAGGTTAACAGGAAGCTAAAGCTCTGACCTTTCCTAATCTCACCCTCGAAACCTCTAAAGAACTACTCGCTACTCATACTCGAACCGAAAGCAAAGAGGTAAAGAAAGCTAGAAATCATCATTAAGACAAGATTAGCAAACTAAGTACTTCTTAAACTTAAAAGATTCAAAGTAAAAGCTTACAAAAGATCTCCAAGAACAAACTGTTTTTCTTGGAGAGAAACTGGTTACAAGATAAAGATTGCCTAAAATTAGGTCTTAAAGGTTTATATAGAGAAGGGAAAAGTGTATCCTTTGGTCAACGTTTTTGCTTTGACTTCACAGATGCGCGCAGCTTGAGCAACTTCCTCAAGCACTCTGTTTCCTTTTGCTCAAGGCTCTGTTCCGTCTTGCTTGTTTTGCCATCCGATTACTCCGATCTCCTTCTGGTCCATCTCCGATCATCACCTCCGGTCCCTCCTTCGCCATAAGCTCCGAAACCTGATAAATGCACCCCAAATGCAATGGAAATGCAAAATGCTATCCTAAAGGCTAAATGATCCTAAGTAGACTAAAGCTACTAAATGTTATGAAATGGGACTCAATTATATACAGAACTATGCAGTATGAGAGGCTAAATGTATGCAAATGTTGAGTACATCAACACCCCCACACTTAGTCTTTGCTTGCCCTCAAGCAAACATCAACCAAGCATAAGAGTGTTCTCTGAGCAATAGAGTCAAGTGAAAGCCGAGAAGAGAAATTGAATCAACAACCTAGTTCCAAGGTCTAAAGCGCAAAAGATGTTCTCTACTTCAAAAATCTTAGCCGCACCTTCATAATTACAATCAATGACAACTAGCTCAACCTAAACATGCATTCAAATCCTCTACTCCTTTTAACATTCATTAAAGCTCAAAACAGTGAATCAAAACACATGCAAGTCAAGTTAACTCGTTTGGCCAGTGGAAAGAGAGAGAGCAAATCACAATGCAAGCTCATGTCAAATGACAAAGGAAGGGTTCTCTCAAGAAGAAGTGAAACAGCTTCGGCATAATGCTAAAGGCGAGAACCAATTGGGAGGTACAAGGACAAATGATCATCTACCCGAAACCCCAAGTACCTTTTGGTGACTCTCAAATCCGAAACTTCCTATTTCTACCCTTTCCCTTTGGGTTTTCCTTTTCTTAGAGCTTTTTGAAACTTTTAGCGAATTTTTCTAAGGCTTTTTGAAAGATAAACTCGAGAGACTTGGTCTAAACTCTTGCCCTAACCCATCTTTTCCTTTTGAAACTCTTTTTTCTCTTTTTTTTTTTTTTTTTTTTATTTTCTGATGGGGGCTTTCTTAAACTCACAGACCAAGCTCTTAATCTACCTCAGCTAAAACGCTTCTTTTCTTTTTGCTCACAAGCTCTTTCTTTCTTTTTCTTTTTGAATCCCACCCCAAGACATTCCCAAACCCAGTCCTAACCTAGTCTGGCCCAAAAAGCGTGGACCAGAATCTACATGATCACCTATCCTTGTCGGCTCAAGACCTAACACTTTATGCCAAGCTTTTTCAAAGGCCTCACAACACACAAGAACAACATTTGGTTTGAAAGGAAGGGTTGGTTAAGGGCAGGGAGTTCTACTTGAATCAACAAAGAAGGATGAACAATAATGCAAAGATGATTCAAGTATGTATAATCCACGAGTTGAACTTAACAAGCATGAGCATGATAATTGATGTTCAGGTTCAGGTTTCACTTAGACAAGGAGCAGATTCAAATCGCAGCAATGCATTCGGTTTTACTAAGACAGTCATGATGCTTTTTGATGATGCGGTTTACCTTAACTTCAAGAACTATCAAAAGCGCCAAACAACTTAGAACTAGGGCACTGAAGCAATTCCGCAACTCAATCAATCAGCTCAACAAACATTGCTCAGATGCAAATGAAATGATCTTAACTACATGCTCTGTTTTTGGTTTTTTTTTTTAGCAATGCAAAAATGAAAATTTTACATGATTTTCTAAAGATGTAAATGCATGAGACTCAAGGTTATGCAAAATATAAAATAAGAACATAAAGCACTTCGTCAAATACCATTGACCCTCTCCCCCACACTTAGTTCACACGGTCCCTTGTGTGATAAGAAGGCGGAAGAGAGAATCAAAGCAAAAGATAAGTGAAAATAAGAAAAAAAAAATGCATGATATTTACATGGTTGGGGTTCATACCTCTCAGAAAGAATCTGAGGAGGAGGATGATGTGGAATCACCCTTTGGTGCTCGCTTGAGGTGACTTCGAGGCCTTCCTCTTCCTGGTTGAGGTCTCTGCCGTTTGGAATTTGGAGGAGCCTTCATCACCTTCTTCGGAGTCCTCGACTACGTCGTCGTCATGATAGGAACCGAGGTGTATCGGAGGAGTGTTGTCGGAGTCGTGGCTGGGAGACTTGCTCTTGCCCTTGGTCAGCTGCTTGATGCGCTTCCCCATCTTCTTCACGGTCTTGAGGAGGGACTTGATCGCTTTGTCCTGGAACTGGTTCCAGGCTTTTAGCGTGTTGATGCTCTCAAGTGCGGTGTTAGCCGCTGACTTCCTCCCTTTGATCTCGTGGTTCTTGAAGTGGAACTCTCCGGTTTTGTAGTCCATGAGGTTCTCCACGTCGCCTGAGCTCTCACCTTCGCCAGCTGCTCCAGGGTGAGCGTAGTCTTCCTCCTCTTGGCCTTGCTCGAGAATGGTCTCGATAGGAGGCTCAAAGTCTATGTTCTCCTGACCGTGATGTAGGTCAAGGGTGGTTGGAGGAAGAAACTCGCCAGCCCGTATTCAAACTGCCTATAGGCGAACTGATAGTTGTGGCGTCCGCTGATGGGTTACCGCGAAGGTAAGGTGCTCTTGCGGAGATACTGGATGTTTATCGCTGAGGATCAACCGGCTTCTCAAGCGTGATTCCCAGTTCATGAGGATCGGCGTTATGAGTCCTCCACAGCTCAGCTGACCACTGCTTGCCTTGTGCACTTTGTTGAGAGAGAGAGCATACTCCCTGTAGCTGAGGAAGCTCTTGAGAAGATACGTCGCCACGCTGTTCCCTGATCTGTCCCCGACCATCTCAGTCCATCCGGCAACGTGTGAATCACCTTCTTCATCCCTTCATTTAGGAAGAAGAGCTCCTTTTCGGTGACACCAGTAACGTCTCGCCTCACATAGATGGTGTGAGCGAGGGCCTTGTGGACGTATCGGAGCACGGGGTTCCTGATGTGTGTGCTCTTGGCAGTGCTAGCCATGTACTCGCCAACTCCGATCATTGCCCAGAAGGCTTGAAGCTCTCCTTGTGGCGTTCCAGGCTCTGTTTCTCGCCCATCTTTGTGTTCAAAATGAAACACATCCTCCAGCTCCTTGAAACTCATCCGGTACTTCCTCTTGTTGATTCGGAAGGAGAACCTTCCACTTCCATGACCCTCAGGCACGATCTCGTCAGGCTCGTAGAAGTTAACTCGGAGAGTGGAGAGGAACTCGATGGTTTCCTTCTGGTATGCAGGCAGAGGGTTCATCATCAGCCTCGCAAGCTGCATCTCTCGAAGAGGTAGTGGCAATCCTGAGAGATCCCAGCTTCCGCCATAGCCGTCAGGTCAGGGTATCTCGTCCCGACGAAAGACATCTGGTCGAAGATCTCGGCGTAGTCCTTGCTCTTCATGACCCGGATCCGCTTTTCCTACTGCCTGAGCCTTCCTCTGTCACCGGTTTCTTTCCTTCCGCCTTCTCCGCCGCGGCTCTCGAGAGAGTTCCTCTTGTTGTGGACACCATTGTTCCTGTGGAACAAACAAAAACTCACAAACAGAGTAAGTTCTCTAGCCAAATAATGTCACTCGCAAGGCTTAGAGAAGAAACAGATCAAGCAAGTTGAGATTCGAGATAAAAATCAAAGCTTTAGACAGATCTCAACTAAAAAGGTCGATTAAAACCGGCGGTGAACTCAAATCTCGGAAAAACAGAGACATGCAAAACAGTTTTCAAAAATCCAAACTCAAAATCTCTCTTTCAACCTTAACCCGAAACAAATCCGACCTCTACTAAGCGAAAATCAAAACCAAATCTAGCCAAAGTCGGAGAAATTACCGGTTGAGCGCAGAAAACGGTTTGAAAGTGAAGAAGAAAGAGCGAAATAGTAGAGAGAAAGATGGAGATTTTTCTTTTCACAAATCGGGAAAAAGGAGAAGTATGAAAGAGAGAGGTTTGGCTTGTCTCGGTTTTGTAAAAGGTAAAGTAGAGAGAGATGGGGTTGCGGAAAAATCGGGAAGGATTTGGATTAAAACCGCTGTCAAATCACAACTTCCCCAATTGACTACTTTCTCTCTCCCACGTTCCTTTTTCTCTTTCTTTCTCTTTTTTTTTTTTTCTTTTCAAACCGAGACAAAATTCCGGATAAAACTCGATCAAAAACTGTTTTCATTTGGGCCTTATAAACAGGGATGGGCTTACCTGGCAACGATTTTTGAGAAAACCTAAGTCTTTTCAAAAATCGTTGCATCGTTCTTCTTGATCAGTTTGCTCAAGCTTATCGTCAGGCTGACCGAACACTTCCTTCATCTATACACCTGAGCACTTATAAAAGCTAAAACAAGAAAGATTAAGCAAAAATAAATATATACAAAGATAACCATGGGACTTCCTCCCAAGTGAGCTTGTTTTGAGTCCCATAGCTTGACTTTCATAACCTTTTAGGCTAAGGGAGCGTCCGGAAGAGGAGTTGAGACTCCTTCTCCTTGAATGCGTTGGCCCAAATACGGTTTGAGCTTGTGGCCATTCACCGTGAACTCCTCGCCATTGTTGTTAAGCAAAGTGACAGCTCCATAAGGAAGGACGTCCTTAATCTCAAACGGGCCCGACCACTTGGACTTGAGCTTCCCAGGGAACAACTTAGCTCTCGAGTTGAAAAGCAGCGCATATTCTCCAACCTTGAAGACCTTAGGCACAATTTTCTTGTCGTGAAATGCCTTAGTCCGTTCTTTGTAAATCTTGGAGCTCTCATATGCGTCCAGCCTGATCTCTTCCAACTCATGTAAGTCGAAACCCCTCTTCTCTTGGGCAGACCTGATGTCGAAGTTGAGCAGTTTGATTGCCCAGAGTGCTCTGTACTCAATCTCCACCGGAAGGTGACACGATTTCCCGTAAAGGAGCGAGAAAGGTGTCCTTCCTATTGGCGTCTTATAGGCGGTCCTGTAAGCCCAGAGAGCGTCGTCCAACTTAACTGCCCAGTCCTTCTTGGTGACTCCCACAATCGTCCTGAGGATCCCCTTTATCTGCTTGTTCGACACTTCCACTTGACCACTTGTCTGAGGATGGTATGGTGTCGCTACCTTATGCTTGACTCCATACTTCTTCAGCAAGTTCTCGAAGACTTTGTTGATAAAGTGGCTTCCTCCATCGCTTATTACAACCCTTGGCACTCCATATCTCGGGAAGATGATGCTTTTGAATAGCTTGAGCACAACCTTGGCATCGTTCGTTGGGGAAGCGATTGCCTCGACCCACTTGGACACATAGTCAACCGCCACAAGGATGTATCTATTCCCGTGAGAAGGTGGCTCGAAAGGGCCCATGAAGTCGATGCCCCATACATCAAACACTTCCACCTCAAGTATCGGGTTTTGTGGCATTTCATTGCGCTTGGAAATGCTCCCTTCTCGTTGGCATCTATCACACCTTGCAATGAAGTCGTGAGTGTCTTTGAAAAGGCTTGGCCACCAGAATCCGGCTTGAAGAACTTTGGAAGCTGTTTTGAAAGTCGCAAAGTGACCTCCGTAGCTCGATCCGTGACAATGCTCGAGTATTCCTCTACTTCCTCCTGAGCTATGCACCTCCTAAACAGACCATCCGATCCTCTCTTGAACAGGTATGGTTCGTCCCAAAAGAAGTGTGAGATGTCCCTGAAGAACTTCTTCTTCTGGTAAGGAGATAGATCGGCCGGGACCTCTCCACACACCAAGTAGTTGGCGTAATCTGCATACCAAGGCGCTTCCTTTTCCTCAACTGCCTTCAACTGCTCTAACCGAACTGCCAAACCTACGCTTTTCCCAGACTTTCCACCAAGAGTAGCTGTTCCTCAGGCAGAGTATCGTCGATAGGTGCGGTTCATTTACTCTCATCCTTGAGAGATGATCCGCAACTCCGTTCTCAACCCCTTTCTTATCCAAAATCTCGAGATCGAATTCCTGGAGAAGAAGTATCCATCTCAGGAGCCTTGGCTTGGTGTCCTTCTTTGCCAACAGATGTCTTAAGGCCGCATGATCAGTGTAGACTATCACCTTTGAACCCACGAGATAACTTCTGAACTTCTCGAACGCAAAGACTACTGCCAAGAGCTCTTTCTCAGTTGTTGCGTATCGTCCTTGGGCATCGTCCATGGTTCTGCTTGCGTAATATATCACGTGGAGCTTTTTGTCTATCCTCTGGCCAAGCACAGCTCCCACGGCGTAGTCACTAGCGTCACACATGATCTCGAAAGGGTAGTCCCAGTTTGGTGCTTGCACAATCGGGGCCGTGACCAAGGCAGTCTTGATCATCTCAAATGCCTTAAGGCACTCCTCGTCAAACAGGAACTCAGTCTCCTTGCACAAGAGGCGTGTCAAAGGACGAGCTATTTTGGAGAAGTCCTTGATAAATCTCCGATAGAAACCAGCGTGCCCAAGGAAACTTCTCACGTCCTTGACTGTCTTTGGTGGAGCAAGCTGACTCATCACTTCAATCTTTGCTTGATCAACCTCTATCCCCTTTTCTGATATCTTGTGTCCCAAGACGATCCCTTCCCTGACCATAAAGTGACACTTCTCCCAATTGAGCACTAGGTTCGTCTCCTCGCAGCGCTTGAGAACCCTGCACAAGTTGGACAAACAAGACACAAAGGAACTGCCATAGACAGAAAGTCATCCATAAACACTTCAACAGTGTCCTCAATAAATCAGAAAAGATTGACGTCATGCACCTTTGGAAAGTCGCCGGAGCGTTACACAATCCAAAGGGCATACGTTTATAGGCAAAAGTTCCATAGGGACATGTGAAGGTCGTTTTCTCTTGGTCATTAGGGTGGATGGGGATTTGAAAGAATCCCGAATAGCCATCAAGGAAGCAATAGAAAGGATGGTTTGCCAACCGCTCAAGCATCTGATCGATGAAAGGCAGTGGAAAATGATCCTTCCTAGTCGCCGCATTGAGCTTTCGGTAATCTATGCACATTCGGTGACCGGTTATGGTTCTGGTTGGGATCATTTCGTCTTTTTCGTTCTTGACTACTGTGATTCCACCTTTCTTGGGCACACAGTGTACCGGCGAGACCCAAGTACTATCCGAGATAGGGTAGATCACGCCGGCGTCAAGCAACTTAAGGATTTCCTTTTTCACCACCTCTTTGAGGTTGGGATTTAAGCGTCTTTGGTGTTCAATAGATCCCTTAGATTCGTTATCAAGGTGAATGCGATGAGTACAAAGCTCAGGAGATATGCCTTTGATGTCCTCTAAAGAGTAACCAATTGCTCTCCTGAACTTCCTCAACTCATTAAGGAGGGAGGTTAATTGGGGTGGGGTAAGTTCTTGGTTCACAATTACGGGATAAGTTGAATTTGGTCCAAGAAATGCGTACCTTAGCCCATCTGGTAAGGTCTTGAGGTCCACCTTTGGGGCTTTGAGCTCGCTCCAGTCATCGTCTGAAGGTTGCTCGAGGTCGTGCTCTGCCTCTACCTTGTGGATTTCCTCAACTCTCACGGAGCGTCCTATGATTTCCTCAACCACGTCATTGGGAACAGTCCCTCTGTGGGAGTCTAAGAGTCGAGCATACTCCAAGGATTCGGTGTTGAAGTAGCTCTTTTCCTCCGCTTTCTCAGTCAAGGTTAGCTGAAGCTGGTCCTCTGTGGCTAACTCCTCTAGATACTCGTCTGCCAACTGATCCAAAGTCTCTACCCAGAAGAGCTGTCCATCAATGGTTGGTTTCTTCATCGACCTCTTGATGTCGAAGCTGAGCTTGAAGTCATCTCCAAAGTTTAGCTCAATCTTCCCTCTCTGAACATCGATGATAGCTCCAGCGGTTGCCAAAAAGGGCCTTCCCAAGATCAGCGGATCCTTGGGTTCTTCGTCCATCTCAAGGATAACAAAGTCAGTGGGTATCTCCACGTTTCCTACTCGCACAGGCAAGTCCTCGAGCATACCCACTGGGATGCGTACTGATCTATCCGCAAGTACCAAGGAAACGTCGCACTTTTGATACTTCTCGAACCCAAGCCTTTTAGCTACCGTGAGTGGCATTACAGATACGCCTGCTCCAAGATCACACAAGCTTCGGTTGAATGCCAGAGGACCAATAGAACAAGGAAGAGTGAAACTGCCCGGATCTTCAAACTTCTTCCCAACCACTTTCCTAGTGATGATTGCACTACATTCCTGAGAAAGAACGACCATGCCCTGAACCTCTTTTCTCCTCTCGGTTACAGCGTCCTTGAGGAATTTCTGATAGGGAGGGATAAGCATACATGCGTCCAAGAAGGGCATTGTAATATCAATCTCCTTTATTTGCTTATCGAACAGGGCTCTAGCTTTCTCAAGCTGTTGTTTCTTGAATCGAACAGGAAAGGGAAGTTGCGGTTTGTAAGGAGGAGGAACGAAAGCTGGGGCTTTCTTCTTCTTTTGCACTTCCTCTGGTGCTTTCTCTTTCTCTTGAACTGGTAGTTCCTCTTCAATCACAGGTGCCGTGGCTTCAGTTTCAACTGAAATCTCCTCCTCTTGTTCCTCAATGTCCTCATTGACTGGTGCGGGTCCTGTTCTTGGAGGTAAAGCGCGTCCACTTCTCAATGTAATTGCTTGTACGTATTCCTTGGGATTCTGCTCTGCTTTACCCGGAAGTTGACCTTGCGTTCTGGATGAGGAAGCTGTTCCGCCTTTGTGTTCAAGCTGATGGATTCTACTTGTGAGAGCTTCAATCTTAGTCTGAAGGTCGTGGTGCGAGAAGTCAATTCTCCCATTAATCTCAGAGAGTCGCTTGTTGAGATCCACGTTTCCGGTAGACTGTCCCTGAAGTAGTTGCTGAAGCATCTGCTTGACTCCAGGTTCCTGTGGACCTTGCTTGGCTTCGAATCCAGGTGGAACAGAGGTGTTTTTCTGATAGCCTCCTTGGTAATTTTTGTTGTACCCATCACGTGGTTTAGTTGGGTACATCTTTCCTTGACCAGACGTGTTGGCTTGAGGAGGATAGACTTGGTCCTGGGGGTTCTCTACATTCGTCGATAGGACATATTGGGGTTGTTCTTGTAGTAACCCTGGCTATGAATGTAGTTGACGTCCTCAGTGTAAACTCCTCCTCTTGATCGTCATCACGTTCCTCCAGCATGTGTACCGACTGTTTTTGCTGGACTATAAGCAGTTTGTCAAGTTTGTCGTTCAGCACTTTCAGTTCCTTCTTGTGCTTTTCCTCTGCTTCGACGGATCCTCTGTTTGTGCGGTCATGATCTTCGCCGTATGTACCATTGCTCATTGCCATGTTTTCCACCAAAAACAGACCGTCGTCGACGTCTCTGGCCAAGAAGTTCCTTGGCTTGCTGTGTCAAGCATCTGCCTGAAGCGAGGCAGTACACCACGGTATAGAGTGCTTAAGAGTGACTCTTGAGAGAAACCGTGGTGTGGGCACTTCTACTGATATCCTTTGAAGCGTTCCCAGGCGTCTGTGAAACTCTCGCCGTGCTTTTGTGCAAAGCTTGAGATGTTGGTTCTGAAGCTTGCAGTTCTGACAGAGGAGAAGAACTTAGCCAAGAAGGCTTTCTTGCACTGATCCCAGCTTGT